TTGTAAAAACTTCAATTAAATTTCAATAAAGTTAAAGGCATGGCCTCACCATTAATATTTAAAAAAAAATAAAAAAATAAAAGTTTTGTCAAATAAATTAGTTCTAAGAATTTTATCTGTGAGGTCTGGTCTGTCCTGTGGTGTTTGCATTAGTAAGAGTTCTGAAGTGATTTCAAGCCAAAAGGATTGCATATGAAAGTAATAAATATATCTGGCTTTCTATAAGTTTGTACTAATGCCATAGCATCTTGGTAGCATTGGTATATATCTCTAGGACCACCCATAAAGGACGAAGGTAAAATGATATGATGTCCTATTTCAGATATATTAACTAATCCTGATTAAACAGAATCTTGTAATCCTTGATAATATTCTTTACGAATTTTATTTTAGTTAAAATATAAGTAATTAAGACATACTGATTCGATTTTTATGTAATTATTAATAATGTATTGTTGTAAAAGCCGACCACTATGAAAAAGCAGTGTAAAAAAAGATTCTCAAAAATGCAATTTGTATAAGTAATATTGTTTTATAGTAATTTTTTTTATGATGTATTTTGTAATATTTCTGAGTACCAACTGTAATATCTCCTAAGAAAAAGTAGTGGTTATTGCATTGGCTTGTAACAACCACTTAATTCAAATACTCATTATAAACCTTGAAATTTCAATCATACAACTATATCACGTTTGGAATGATTTATAGGGTTATTACCTTCTATCTGTACTGCAGCAACTTGTGATGCTGTAAGTGCATTGTATATATGTTGGTCTAAGCCATGATCAGCTTTGATAAAAAGATTTAAGGTTGTTAAGTTACTGGCAGAAGAAATTGATCTAAAGTTGGTAACAAAAGGATTTAAACGGTCTAATTGTAATTTAATAAATTCTAAAGTATTTTGACGAAGCTGAGGTATTAGCTCTAATCTATTTGTTATTTCGAATTTGGTGTCATAAATATATAGTTAGAGAAATTTAGGGATTTCATTAACTAGTAAAAGTGATCCTATAGAATAGTAAATTCTTCCTTGTATATAGAATGTATAAATTCTATCATTTCTTATTTAATAAATTAATTTGTGTTTAATATCAATAAATTATAAATTAATTTACATTTATTACATTATTAAGTATTGTCTTTTATTTAAATTTTAATATTTTACTATTTGCAAGATTTTCATCTAAGTTAACACCTATAGAAGTAAATGCAAAAATACTGTTGTATGCTTTAAAGTTGTTACAAAAATCATTCCCCATATCATCATTTAAAATTATCATATCATTTGCTGAAGTTAGCCTATTTTAACAAATTAAAGGTCAATACTTTATCTATAAAAAACTTTGAGATTATTTATATGTACCCTAAGGTATATGTACCTGCATCATATGACCTATATAGATTGCCATAAAATTCAAGATCAGGTGTAATGTTATACGATCAAAAAAATTCAAAACAAACAGTCGTTTTGACAAAAATTGCTAATTTCGCAAGAAGTTGCATAGTAAACCACCTTCTGTGCATTAATAAAAAATTTTCCTTGAGTAATTTTATTATATAACTGTCTAAATACTAACTCTAACATAGTTCTTACCTAACTCTAAATCTATTAAACAATATCGGTATTACTGTTTTTGTATGTAATATCATATGATCAAAATAAAAGGTACAAAAATATTTAATGTATCCTACAGGTACATTTACATTAATCAAAAATTTTTAATAATATTTAACAACTTATTTAATCTTTCAAAATTCACAACACGATCCTTGCATCTTAGTATCAAAAAGTTTAGCATTACAGTAGAAACATATGTATATAGTATCAAAAATATGATATTTCATGTAATTGTTTCGTTAAAACAACAACCAATATTATAACTATAAACCCAATTTTTTTTTAAAGTTTTTAGTTTTCGTGATCTTTGCATTTGAAAAGTATTTGCAGCTTGATATCTTCTGTAGTTCATGGTTAAAGTGTATGAAGGGTGGCATTTTTTAAACAAATTTTTATTTGTAAATAATAAATATTTTTGTATTTATAATACATAGCATAAAATGACTAAATATGATTATATAATCAATTATTGTTTATGCACATATATTTGATTAATTTTTTCTTTATGAATTATACTAGTTAACATAAAATTAGGTTTATTTTTACAAAAAAAATATGTATTTTATTAATAAGCAATTTTATTACAAACATTTGTAATTGTTTGTTATATTATATTATCAAATCAATTTACTATAATTTATATATAGTTGTAAACTTCATATGTTTTATAGTTCAGAACTTTAGTATACAGATACTTTATACATATTAAAAAAAAAATAAATTAAAATATAATAAAAAAAAAAGTAATAAAAATTCGAAGATAAATCTTTATTGCACAATAAATTGAGTAAAAATTTATTACAGTAAGTTATTATCTGTTTTACTGTATAATTTTTAATCATGTGTTAGTTATTTCAAAGTTTTGTTACAATTTTACAATTTAGTAGAAGTCAATAAATTGAATTACTCATACTACAATTTTAGTTAAAATATAATAACCAAAAGTAATTGGTATAACTTGATTTTTACATATTGATAATATGATAAACTGAAAAATGTTACATTAATTGCAAATAATCACAAGAATGTTATAATAATTACTCGAATTATGATTACAAGAATGTTATAACAATTACTTAAACTATATAGGTTTACTAATTTCTTTCTATAGCTCCTATTAGACAAAGAAAAATCATGATTTTTGATCAAATAACAAAAGTATCATTAAAACACACAGGTTCAATAAATACATAAAGGATATATAACGGGATCCCTTTATCATCCCGATATCTATCCTTTATGTATCTACTCTCAACCTGGTTTGCTACAGTTTTTTGGCAGATGTATAGTAACATAAAGGATAAATATCGGTACAATATATAAGATAAATATAAGAGTATCTTTTAGTATCCCAATATTGATCCTTTATATAATAATTATATATCTGTTATGCTGCTTATATTGGTGCGTAAAATAAATATCAGCTAAATCAAGGTACCTTTTTACGTCCTGATATCAATCGTTTATATTTCACTTTTAATCTGGTTTGCTACAGTTTTTTGCAGATGTATAGTAACATAAAGGATGAATATCAGTAAAAATAAAAGATAAATATAAGATAAATAAAGGGTATATACTAATATTCCGATATCAATACTTTATATATTTATAACATTCCGATATTCATCTTTATAAAATCCATTTTAAATAGAATATCGGGCTTATTAAAGATAAATATTGGGATAATAAAAGATGAATAACGGGATAATTAAAGATGAATAATCAGATAATTAACGATGAATAACCGGATAATGTAAGATGAATATCAGAATAACTAAAGATGAATAATGGAAGAATATCGGGATAATAAAAGATGAATATTACGCAGAAGACCATTTATATGATGGTCAGACCCAATGTACAGGGCAGACTATAGAATCCTGTGCAGCTGTAAGAACCGAGCTTGAAACGGCGAACGACCTTGTAGAAGACAACTCTATTACTGGCAAATCATTTTCAACATCTTTAGA